AGCCCACAGACAGACATTAGTGATGTGTGGAATGAAAACTGAGGATTTAATAGACTAAGTGAGCAGAGGCGGCTGGATTTTACCTTTTTTCTAGTGAGATAAGTTGAAGTATATTGTAGTAAATCCCAGTAGAAACGTCTTGTTTTAATGTTTTCACCTTTATTTTAGTGGGATTTTGATTGTGACATTTCAGTGCTGTCAGTTAGAAACAATAACTAATCAATCACACAATTTGCTGTGAATAATCACAATTAATCGCTTTGTAATAAGAGATTTAAAACAGGGATGTAACGATACACTTTCAGTTCATAATGTTTTTTATTTCTCAGACCAAAAGTCTATAAAACATATTTTCTCTTTTGTTTTCTTCAAAAATCAAATTAAATAATTGTTTTTTTATTTCTAAGGTCGGGAACAAACTGTGTAAAACAATTCATATTTTATTTTATTTATTAAAGTGAGACTCTGTGTACAGCGCCCTCTGCTGTTTAAAATGAGTATTAATTCAAAATAAATATAAATTAATTAGATTTAAAGGCCTTTAAACTGCTTGATTAATCTTTTCAGGTTGTCTGCTGCACCGTTATCTTTAGATTCAACGTTTAATGGAGAAAATGTCCATAATTCAATATGATATAAAACAGAGAAAAGCAGCAAATCCTCATTAAGAATCTGGAACCAGAGAATATTTAAATTTTTAACAACTTATTGTAATAATATTAATATTCTGTGTATTTATAAATGCTCCTGTGTTTTCTGCAGGAGTGCATTCGAGCTCTGGGCAGAAACAAACCTCACACTCCGTTTAGAGCCAGCAAGTTAACCCAAGTACTGCGGGACTCCTTTATAGGAGAGAACTCCAGAACCTGCATGGTAAGACGAGAACAGAGCCGCGTGTTTCTGCTACTACTGCACCCTCCTGTGGACGGATGTACTGATAACATATTGATCCAACTCTCACAGATTGCGACCATCTCTCCTGGAATGGCTTCGTGTGAAAACACCTTGAACACGCTGAGATACGCCAACAGGTGAAACAGGGAAACAAAGAAGCTTTTAAAGACGGGAAATCTCACATTACCTTCATTTAAATGCCAAATGTTAATGCAGAAAGCTGCAGTTTAAACTTCAGTCTTTAAGATCGAGGATACAAAACTTTAAAGTACATTAAAAGTTACCAGTTACAGTTTCCTGGTTAACATTTGTGTCCCTGTTTGTCTCCCTCCTCCTCTCGTGTTGAAACCGACTGAATTGAATTAACTCCTATCTCTTCTTCTTCTCGTGGTTGTGTGTTTTTCTCTCCCGTCAATGTTTCCAGAGTAAAGGAGTTTGGGATAAGTCCCTCAGACATTCCCTTCTCCCAGAGCGGGGGCGGAGGGAGTCGCTCTGAGCTCTCCCCTTCCTACGAGTACGATCGCTTTAATACTACGTCAGGTTACCGCCGTGCTCACATTACCCGTTTTTGTTGCTTCCT